AAAGAGTTAGCCTATTCCCATCCATACGTAAAATAATAACGATAATAATCACATTTAATAAAATCTGATCTAGGCATCCGAATGATCATGGTATAATTTTGTTATAGAAAGTGGAAATCTATTATCGTGGTACTTGTAATTTTATTTTGGTTGAGTAAAACAAGCCTGAAATATGATTGAGATTTTTATTTCTTTTAATTTTTACTTTGATATAGTGCTTTTTACTAGTGATAGATGTATATATTGCACTAAATTTGTACATAGCTCAATATTTCTTTGGTGAATTCCTTAGGTGACGAAGTAGATTAGGATAGATACAAGTTAGAGTTGTTCATGTCACCTAAAGCCCAACTCTTTCCAAACTATTCAGTACATCAACCAAGCTTTAGGTTGGCCATCAGGCAAAGGTCAAACCCTACCTTACCCCACCCGACCATGTCTTTTTTTTAATATTTTTTTAGCAATATTTATTTTCTGGCATTATTTTTTGGTTTAGTGATTCCATAAATTACATTATTTTTATGATTTTTCTTGACATTTTTTTACCATTGCAATTTTTTTAATCTCTTTCAAAATTTAAAATTTTTTTTAACTTAACACTATGTAAAAATAATTAACAATTATTGATCAAATGCAATTTTAAAAAAATTTACTTTGGATTCTAATATTAGTTTTACAAAAAATATATTTTAAATTATAATTTTTATATTTTTGAATAAAATTTTTCATATATTTTTTAAAAAAATTGTAAAAAAGTTTTCAGATCAATTGGGCCAAACTTGAATCAAACATTTAGACATTAGGCTAACCAGATAGATTATGACTTGATTGATGATTATATTGCATGTTAACTTGTGTCACGTTTTCATTTGAAGAGGAGTTAAAAAAACTCATCCAATTGCTAGATATATTGCAGCTGGTGATAGATATACTGCAGTAAATTCATTTGAGTCTGGATTTCCGTTCTTTTTTGCTCGCTTTCATTTTGTTTGCTGCATGATTTGAGGCATCAATTTTTGCATTGTTACCTATTCAACCATCTATTTCTTTTCCAATTTAGTATAGAGGTTTCAACAGCACAAAGGAACTCAAAAAACCTTTGATGGTCTGCTAAATCTGTTATAAATTGGGAATGGTTAAATACACAATTTGGCCTCAAATTGAGATTTTTGAAATTTCATATAATATTGCCCTTTAGCATTCATATAGTGCCATGGATAATGACAGTGATTGTACAATGTGAAAATTTTGGCCAAAAAAATACAATGTGAAATTGTAATCATAGTTCAAACCAAGAACAATCCAAGAGTGGCAAGTGCTATACAATCATCTAATGAGCAACTATCACCAAATAGAGCAGCCCAAGAGTATCAAGTATTGTACAATCATCAAATAAACAGCCAACACCAAAAAAGAGCAACCCAAAAGTAGCAAGTACTGTACAATCATCCAATGAGCAACCCAAGTGTTAATAGAAGCAACGACTAAAACAAAAGGAGCTGAACTATATGACTTGTTTAGGAGGTCAAGAGTTGAATTATGAACCTGTATTTATACCAAATAGTGTGAACAAATATTGCATTGTCTTGAAATTGTAATATGTAATAAAAGTTACATTGATTTGAATAAAAGTGACTTAATTTTCGTTTATACTATTATAATTTACCATTTGTAAATACTTGACTAAACTCAAATGCTTCAAGTAAAGTCTTATAACAATCAAGGGGTGCCTATAATCAAGAAAAGAACAAGTATGATATAATGTGTATGTTCTAAATCAACAAACTAGTAGGAATATTGTGTAGTTACCATCAACAAATTGGTGCAAGGCATTTTACTTGGAACATGTGTATCCAAGATCATATGATCATGATGTGCTTGAGTTGGTGAGGTAGCTTTTTCATGTGCATCCAACATCATGGGATCATATTGTAGTTAATGATGTCGTACTTTAAAAAAATGAAACCATGAATACATAATAAGCATACAGTACTTGAAAAGAAAAAAATGAAACCATGCTGTACTTTAAACGAATAAGAAGAAATTCATTATGATATACCAGTGAAGCTTTGTTAGAGGTCTTGACTGATCGAGAGGTTTTCTTAGTGATCACTATTATGATTCTCGTCACCATGGTCATCATCATATTCTTTTGATGAGTGTTATATGTGAAGTTTAGTCACTTTCTTAGTAAGTTCCAATACACCTTAATAAACTAGAGAGAATGCCTCTAGACTTTCTGATGCATCACTAGCTAACTTAACAAGCGTGGGGTATAATTCCCTATATCATCTTGACCTTTCTAGTTTTGGATCGTCTTCAATAACATTTCCCTTCAAATCATACACTACACTACATCTAGCTTCTCTTATCCACCTCTTTATTACATATTTCTTTAAGAGTAACTTCATATCACGTTCATACAATACTCTCAATGCATGACAACATAATATGCCTACTCATTCAAATTTTTTGTAGCTATAAATAATTGTCTCAGTTGAAGAATCAAATGTCAAACCATATTCACCTCTCCTATTAACCATGGTGATCACATGATTAAATAAGATTTCCTCATCTCCATTTTTCTTCCTTTCATTTCTCTCTTTTATATATGTAGATCACATTGAAGTTGGAACAAGTCAAAAATTGGTCAAGTGTAGATTTCAGAAAGCTGACGAAGCATACATGAATTTTGCAATATCAACCTTAGCAACTTATCATGTGTCTCAAAGTGAAGTTCCAATTCCTTATAGCGCATGTACTCCACAACTCGTTCAAATTGATGAAAGAATTGATTGACATTCAATTCAGGATTTGTGCAACTCTTTACACATGAATTGATATTTTCACTTATTTGAATGCTTCTCATGCCAAGTATCCTTAAGCCCTTTATATAACGTGCTGTCCATTTCTCTTTTATTTCATATATGGACATCAACCATGTGTTTTCTCCTATGTCATGCTTTAATAATAATTCTTGCCATGCTTCCTCAAACTTTGTTTCATCCCAACAATGATACATGCAATGCTTTAAATCACTTATGATATGAGAACCATCCTTTTTCAAGCTTTTAAGGTGCTTTATTATATTCCTTGAAGTATGCCATGCACACAAGGCATGCTTTACTTCAGGCATCACTTCTTGTACTGCCCATGCCATTACAGCATGTTGGTTAGTAAAGATGGTTAGTGGCTTCACATTCTTGTGTGCACGCAAAAATGTCTCAAAGAGCCATTTGAAAGTTTCAATAGTCTCATCATATAATAATGCGGCTCCAAATATCACAACTTCTCTGTAATGATTTATGCTAGAGAAAATAACAAGAGGTCTATGGTCACAATTTGTGCAATAAGTTGTATCAAGTGAAACAACTTCTCCAAAGCAAGCATAATCAATCAACATTCGTGCATTAGCCCAAAACACATTTATAACTTGCTCCTCCAAGTCTATTTGATGAGCATGAAAAAAAGATAGATTTTTTACCAATTGTTCTTCAAAGTAATGAAAGATACATTAAGCTTTAGTAAATGACATGAGTTTTCGCCTTCTTGAATTAAGATAATTTTTTACATCAACTCTTGTAAATCCTAAATTGGTTTAACCTCCTGCATATTCACTCATTAAATTAAATGTTGATTTTTTATTAATCCCAGCTTCCTCAGCAATTTCTGATTCAAATGCTTGAGCTGATGTTAGTCCACAAAATGATCGAAACATGTGCATAGCTTCAAGAGGTTGGAGGGAATGATTATGATCTAGAAAAACTTCACTTATTTTATACTTCTCATTTACTTGTACAACTTTCATTTTAGCTTTGCAATATGTTCTTGTCTCTGGTCTAGGCTTCTTGATGTTTTTACCCCGTTTGTTTAGTCTTTGCACCCCTTCTTTA